CGTCGCTCCGAAGAAGAGCCGAGCTAAAGTATTTATTGGTGGTTCAGTTCTAATTCCAGAAAGTTAATTGGGTGAGTCAATTAACACACTTCTGTTTCGCACCACTGGGTATTCCCTCACCCTTGATCTGAATCCATCAAAACTGTCAGGTGACTGTTTTTAAATGACAAAGCCAGAAAGTTTCCAGAAAAGTGCTATTTCTGTTAACCCGTCCCCCCTCTGGGTTTTAAAAATCGAAATCTTGGGGGGCTTACAAAATGAAGAAAATGTTTACCAATTAAAAGCAGGCACCGAGGAATATAACAAAACTCAAAAAAATAATAGTTATGAGTAAAATAAGAGGGTTTTAAGAATGGTGAAATCCAAATGAAATATAATAGAAGGGGAAATAAAATAAGGTAAGCAGTATCGATTGATAATTGCTATTAGAAAGAACAGGAAGTTCCTGTTCATATTATATTGTGTAAATGTGGTGTACGTCTAAGTTGTGTGTGTGTGTATTTTACATGTTGTTAATAAAATAATAATAATAAAAAATGAGCCACTGCGGGTCCGGGTGGACAAGGGTCCCTTGCTGAGCGAGACCCTGGAGGCAAGGAGCCTCCAGGGGGGGCGCCACTGACAAGAGACATCAGGTCCGCAAACCAAGGTTGACATGGCAAAAATGGGGCCAGAAGTAGAAGCTCCGCATCCTCCTCCAGCATCTTCTGGATGACTTGCTGAAGGAGGTGCAGAGGGGGAAAAGCCTAGAGGAGCCCATCTGGCCACGGGCATCGAAGAGTGTCTGTGCCTTTCGCTCCCAGAGTTGTGTATCGTGAAAGGAATCATGGCACCTGCTTGTTGTCCTTGGTCGCAAAGAGGTAGATTGTCAGCATCCCGTACTGGGTGGTCAGGTCCTAGAAGAGGTCTGGATGTGGTTTCCATTCAGCCTGGTCTATTTGGGAACGGCTGAGGCAATCTGCTTGAATGTTTGATACCTGGGATATATGCTCGGCTCTTATGGATAGGAGGAGGTGGGCTTCTGCCCAGACTCCAAGCCATGCCACCTCCTGCATCCGCCCAGACCCCAAGCCATGCCACCTCATTGAGTGGATCCAACACTGTCAATTTATGTGTGCCTTGGCTGTCATGTTGTCCGTGAGGACCAGGATGTGCTTGTCGGTGACTACCCGCTGAAATTGAATCAAAGCCAGCCAAACAGCTTGCAGTTCCAGCCAGTTTATGTTGTGCTGGAGGTCCGACTAGAAACACTGACCCTGGACCATCCCCAACTGCAGATGGGTGCCCCAACCGGACAGGCTGGCATCTGTGGTCAATGTGATGCGGTTTGGTTCCCTGAACAGGGATCCCTTGGAAATGGCTGGGGACAACCACCACCCCGGGAGGGATCTGGTCACCTCTGGAGGTACCTGCACAGTGATCAATAAGCTGCCATTGCCTGCCTTCTGGTGCGGCAGGAGGAACCACTGAAGCACTCTGCTGTGTAGTTGGGCCACGGAATGATTGCAAAGCAGGACACCATCTTCCCCAGCAACTGGGAGAGGACGAGCAGTTGAACTCTGCGGTGAGATCTGTTGGCCAAGGCTCGAACGCTGTCCTGCTACTCCTGGGAAAGATAAACCCTGCCCTCTGAGGTGACTCTTGCCTAGGTTTATTGAAAACCCATGAGCCCTCAGAACCTGAAGGGAGACCTCTAGATCCCTTTCTGCCTGACTTGGGTACCTGGACAGGAGAAGGATATTGTCCAGGTAGCACTGGATCCTGATTGGCAAGGCCCTGAGGTGGGCTGCCAGGATCTTTGTGAACATCCTGGAGGCTGAAGAGAACTGAAGGGAAGAGCCCTGTATTGAAAATGCCTCCCCTGATAGCAGACTGCGGAGAAGGCCACTGTTGCAGCCTGGATGTTATTCCTTGGCAAATGGCCTCCGTAATGATGGCCGCAATATTGGCCTGTTGAACATCAGCCACTAGCAGGGGTGTTGTGGAAGGCGAAACCAGGGACCCAGGCCTAGGGCTGAGATGAGCTGACTGTGGTTCTCTGGGTACAGGAGAATCTAGAGTCAAACCTCCTTCCTCCTGCTTGGACAAAGAGAACTCTTCCTCACTGTCCAGGGACATATCCTGTGGTGGAAAAGGGGTGAAGGCTGACCTGCGCCTGCCTAGCCTCTTCAGCTGGCCTGGCCGCCTCCCTTTGGGCCTTGGCAAACTCTCTGTCTAGGGCCCTCTGGCACCTGCTTTCGGCCTTTTCTGTGGAGGACTTCTTAGAATGTCCCTGTCTCTAGAGTGGGAGGCCACCCTTTTCCATGCAGGTCTCGATCCCAAGGGGCCTGTGATAACTTCCTGCTGAGCATTGGGGGTCGCCAGCCCGATTAAACCTCAATTGAGTCAGCCATGTCCAGATCTCACCTCAGCCTGTACGATGGTTGCAGTGGTTACTCTGCTTGACTGGTATGACCTGGTCCTGCACAGTGGTGGTGTAGTGCAGTGTTTTTCAACCACTGTGCCGCGGCACACTAGTGTGCCG